TGGGGTAAGTTACTCTTTAAGTCTATTTTTTTATTATTCTTTTTCATGGTTAATCTGATAAATAAACTAAATAAATATATTTACTCTGTAATATTTTAATGCAAAGAAAAAAAGAATAAATTTAATAAGTGTATGAAGAACTGATTTCTGATGAGAAACTGCAAAAATTAGTCATCTAAAAATAAGTAAAAAATACTAATTAGACCCTTATTCTTTTCAAATTGAGGCAATTTGGTGTTTTCACCCCCTGCCTCCCTGATTGGCTCAAGTGCTGATTACCCACACCTGCATGAAGTTTGGCTCATCAACCCCAAGGCTTCTTAAGGCTGTGCTGAGGATCTTCTCATCACTGAAGCATCGCCTCATATTGGTATGAGCTCAGACTGCTACCTGTTGTTAATCCCAGAGTTAATCTTAACATTGTGTTTTTGTTATTTACCTGTTTTTCAGAAAGCGACCCTCAGTACGTTTTGCCTTGAAGACCAGAGCCACTCACCAGGACTTTCATGCGCTGCCAGTTTGCCTCCCACAAACACTAAATATATCTTCACCTGTAAATACTCACCTGTGGATCTCTACTTTTGGACCAACTCCTCCAAGCCTCGTCTCCTTCCCCAGCCTGTAAGAACCCCTCTGAATTACTTACCTGCAAAAACATTACTGGATAACCTGCAAATACTCACCTCTCCAAAACCTTTGGTCCCATTCCCATTTTTCCAGCACCTGTAAAATAAAATCACTTTTTTTGTATATCCTGCCTCTGTCAATTGTGTCTGCTCATGTTGACCTCTACCTATAAAACCTGATACAAATTAATAGTAATTAATAATCTGCAGTTTGACAGTTGCACTTGGTAAGACTTCTTGAAGTAAAAAAAACTTTTCAGATTAACAACCCAACATATTCTGATCTTGTTTAGTATATCTGCCTAAAAACAAGATCAAAAATGMTTTTTAGCTGATATAAATCTGTAAAACTTGGTTAGAGGAACATTTTTCTGCAGTAAAATGACTTGTCTACTGCTCAAACATTAAAAGATTAATAAGATTCACTTTAAACCTGGTCGGGACCAGKTTAGTTTCAGAGCACTTGCTACCATGGAAACGTAAGTTCTTCCCCTCCCTTGCAACCGATTCTCAAGGCTTAATTCAGGTTTACACCAAAATCCCATGTTAATCCCTTATCCTAGTTTTGTGCAGTAAGTGTTCTTGTGTTGCCACCATGTTGGTCATTAAAGTGTTTTAACTTATCTTTAAGCTCCATGTGATCCCATCACACCACCTCTCACAACTGTGTTCTGCTAAAACAAAGTTTTTGTTTTAAACTTTATTCTGTGTTCATGCTGCAGCAGAGGAAAAAGTTATTTTTGTTTTATGATAAAATCTCAGTTTCAAAGAGTGTATTGGCAGTTCAGTTCTTGGGTCCATTGTGTGCATTTTTTTTTATCGATGTACGTTGTGTCATAACTTACTGTAAATTCTGCGACAAAAACAGGAAAGGCTGTAACTTCCTCCCTCGGGAGGCTTTTACTTGAGCTGTGTTCAAAATGAGCCAAATGACTCCACCCACCCWGTTACAGTTTGGTGGTTAGACAGTCTTTGAATTTTCTTGAGCAAAAAAACTGACCATGAATTTCTTTTCTGYTCTATCTCATTCTGTTTAGACAAATAAACCATGATGTAACTGTGGCTGTGTCCAAAGCAGTTGTGCTGTTAAYGCTTTTATCATTTGTATAGATATGTTTTTTAAGTCTTGTCAGAAATCAAACAAGCTGGTATTGAGAAATAAACGTGCCCATACGTGGGTCCCTTAGTTCTTCAAATATTGCCTTTAAGCTAATTTATTTTCTAATATTGATAAAACCAATGTATTGATATTTTGCCAATTTCAATCTATTTTGCTTCTGAGCTGACGCACTGTCGGGTCCCCATCTTTGCCCAACCATGTTGTCACAGTTTTTTTGGCGGGCGGGGCAAGATGGCGGAGGAGTGAGACGTATGTCGCGAGGCTCCCGCTCCGACTTGTTCAGTTTGTGGTTCTATACTAAATGTCCTTGCTGTTTTAAACATTTGGTCCATCCGGACTCGACCCCTGAGTGATTCTTGCCTGGAAGAGTAGAAGAATGGCGACAAACTCGAGGAAAGCCAAACATTCAAGCTCGACGGCTGYTAGGCCCGACGCCGCCCCGGAGCAGGCTGCAGCTAAAGCCGGAGTTTCGGCGCTCTCCTCTCCCTCCCGCAGCGAGGCGGACGCACTCTCATTGAGGTCTGACATTCTTGCCGCTATGAAAACCGATCTCTCAGCTGTGATCAAATCCGAAATAAAAGCGGCTTTGGCTGAAGAGTTTACTCTTATTAAAGGGGAGCTACAAGCGGTGTGAGCGGAGGTGGCTAACGGCACAATGCTACTGCGCGCAGATCTGGACCACGTGAAACAGAGCGTTAAGGAGATGGAGGATGGCTTGTCGGCCTGGTCCGATGAGGTGGTTTCTCTGCGCACCACCATGTTGGAACTGAAAGAAGAAGTCGACGGGCTCAAAAGGAAGTGTGACGATATGGAAGGGCGCATGAGGAGGTGCAATGTGCGGATTATTGGAGTTCCTGAAACGCCAGAATCCAGCTCCACTTCAGCAGTGGCTAAACTGCTAGCAGAGGTTCTACAGATGGATAAAGAGCCACTGGTGGATCGAGCACATCGCTCTCCAGGTGGAAACAGGTCAGGCGATAAGCCGCGGGTTATTGTCGCTAAGCTGAATTATTATCAAGAATGTGTGGAAATACTGCGTCGGGCTCGGAGTCGTGGTCCTCTTCATTTTAAGGAGGCACAGATCATCATAACATCTGACTACACGGCAGCTGTGGCCAAGGCTCCAGTGGTGTTTACGGAGCTGAGGAGGCTTCTTCGCAACCGACGAGATGTTCGCTATGGCCTGCTTTTTCCTGCACGGCTTCGCATCTCTCATGGGGAGGAAAACAAGGARTTCCTGGATGCCAATAAAGCAATGGACTACGTTAAAAAGAAAATCATCTCAGCGATGGACAGCGAGGACCGGCGTTGAACGCAGGTCCAATCTTCATCGACCCATTGTGACTGTCAGGTTGTAATGAACCTTCTAACTTTATGTCCCGCGTTATACCTTGATTTAATTTTAGACATTTTTCTCAGGGACAACATTCCTCTTTTTGTTCTATACTGTATATGAGAGTTTCACAGGGGGTCTGTCTGGATTTTGGTTAGTGATTTATTTATCAGTGCTGCAAGGAACATGAACAGTAATAATACTTTAAAGTAAGAGAACCCCTTTCTTTATTTTTTTGGTTATTGTTATTTAGTTGTGGCAGGAGCCCAGACGGAGTTAAGCCCCCCAGTATAAGTGTGGATTTTTTGTTTGTTGGGTTCTCCGTTTTTTTTTTTTTTTTTTTAGGAGAAAGGGGTGGGACTATTCCGGATCTATTTGTTTTGATAATGTCTTTTTCAGGTTATTTTTTTGTGATGGTTTGTGGATATTGTACTGCGATAGTCATTTCTGATCATAGTCCACTCATAATAAAACTGAACGTTCCTGTTACGCAATCGGTCTATCGTCCTTGGTGACTTAATCCGATACTTTTATCTGACAAAGACTTAGCTGATATGCTAGCTTCTGAAATTAAGTTTTTTATCGATGCTAATCGGACTCCTGGGATGCCACTCAGCACTGTTTGGGAGTCATTAAAGGCTTACCTGAGAGGTCAAATAATCTCTTACTGTGCAAATAACAAAACATTGAACAGCTAAAATCGCTGACAGATCAGATTCTACAATTAGACAGGGAATGCTGCCATGCTTTTTTACACAAGTCTCACTTAAGAAACGTACATTACTCCAAAC